TCTCAACCAGTATTACACAATGGATCAAATTCATAAACTATTACACCAACCTTTTCAACATTCTCCTAAGTGAAACCGCCACAAACAAATCCAAAAACCTTTCCGAACTAGATACCATTATCAAAGCTAACAAAAAATTAAAAAATGTCGACAAAACTAACTTCCGTGCACTTTCTACCTTCAGAACCAAAATCCTAGCAAATCAACTCCCTACTCGAGTCAAACTTCATAAAAGATATCCCCTACTCTACAAAGATGACCTATGTCCTCGTTGCAAAGCGTATCCGGAAACATTGGACCATATTTTTTTCTGTCACCACTGCATTCCTATCTTGAGAAAAAAAAGCAACAAACTTGAAACTTTTATTACCCAAAACATTCCTAAAGGAAAACTAAATTCGAATGAGGCTTACCTTCTTCAAACAACCAGCCTAACAAGCAAAACAATACTCGACATAGCCATCGGAAAGTTTAACACTCCCTTTAACATCATCCAGAAAAGGGAAGAAATTTCAAACTACTCCCTCAAAATCCTGCACAAAATTTGGAAACAGCGTTCAGCAACTGCCACCATCTCGACAACTTCAGGAATTAAATGGAAAAAAACCACTTCCGTGGCAAGCAACAATACTAATCATCCAAATACAAACACCTTTCAGAAAGTTCTCAATACTCTAAAAAATTCAAACAACCTTACTGACAAAAAAATTTTCACACCAGCCATAGTATCATCATTTTGAATAGGCATTAGCCATTCAACACCTTTAGTATGTAAACACCTACTTGGTGCCAATGCGTACTAACTGTAAAGTTACAATAGGCTACAATTAATTTAACTTCCATGTATTTTAAAGATTGTTAATGTAATGATGATAAACAAAGGTTTAATAAATGTCTCGCATTTAATGCCTGTTTGTGATTAAAAAAAAAAATAATAATAATAATATATTAAATGTTATATGTACTTAATTAATATTCTGTTTCCCAAATAAGTATAAATATAATAAACTCAATAATTAATTAATAATATTTTGAAAAGACCTGTGGGTCCATAGCACAGTGGGTATTGCTCCCAAATCTCCAAATGCATGTCCTTAGTTCAATACCCACAGAGGGCAAATGCAAAAATTTCATTTGTATGCAGGTTTACCAGTTTTCCTACATATGGAGTATCCAAACATCCAGATCCTGACCAAATTCAGTTAGGCTGCATGAAAATGGAACTTCTGGTCTTTCTGATGATCGCAGGCTGAAAAACAGGTTGAAGCTGGAAAGGTTGCATGAGAAAAGACTTCTGGTCTAACTTCCATAAAAAATTCACAAACCCCCTGGCATGGCAGACTCTGTAGCACAAAGAACATTTTAGCTTGAGGCTATCCCAATTCAGCACTTGCTTAAAAGAAGATTAGACAATTCGTCGTACAAATGGAAGCTGCAGATAGTGACAATGAGTATAGTATCTTCTTTGAGGTCTCAAGTGAAAAGTATTGAATGGGTTATCTGGTTCTAATCAATCTGAAAAATACATGCTCCCTATGACTTAGATGGACTAACAGGTTTAGGTAGGTTTAAACTGATAGCAGGACTTCCCACCTCCTGAAAAATAGTCCCACCTGGTATGTGGGCCCATTTAACATAGTATAAGTTCATATAGCTGGGTTAAAGGTAAAATTAAGTTAGCTATTACTAGTAATAGTCAATAGGCAGTATTATTAATTCTAGTTATATAGAAGATAAATGTTACGATTGTGGAAAATGTTGCTTCCCAATTGATTTGTTGTTTGGTTAGCAAGTCTCGTATTTGCTTGTTTCTTTCCAGTTTTAGTCATTTTGTAATGTTTTTGATTTTATCAGATTGCCAAACAAAAAAAGAAAGAGAAACCAAAGCCAAGATAACTGTTATTAAAAAGCAACCCACTTTGTTAGATACTAAGTTCCTCCATATTGAAGAAAACCAGAAACAATTACTTTTATTTAATAATAAGATTAATGGATACCCTGTATGGATTCTGTTAGATTCGGATGCTTCCAAAAACTTTGTAAATAAGAAGTTTGCCGACAAGAATCAACTGCCAAAGAAATCCACCTCACCATTTTCCATGAAACTTGTTGATAGATAAAAAAAAGAAGTTATTACTGAAGTGGAAGTCAAGACCCTAAAACTGAGAAAGCATCACATCTCTAAGTTTTTTGCCCAAATTCTGGAACTGCAAAGATATGATGACATTTTGGGAAAACTATGACTATATCAAGTCAACCCTTACATTGCCTGGAAAACCAATACACTTTCTCTCAACAATGGATTATGCAATATCAAAATCTCTGCCAGTATCTCCTGGACCTTAAAGAAATCTGAGTGCCACTTTTTTCTCATTTTCAGATACCAACTTGCCAGGACACCTGCCAATGAAGAAATATTTGTTGTATGTGTCACTTTTGAGTAGAGATGTTATTGGCTTTATTTTAAGCCAGCTTTATTTATAGCTTAAAGCCAATTTGAGTCAAGCCAAGCTATATT